CATAGTGAGAGAGGGAACACAAGCAGGGGGAGGGGAGAGGGAGAAGCAGGCTTCCCGCGGAGCAGGGAGCCCGATGCGGGGCTCGATCCCAGGACATTGGGATCATGACCTGAGCCGAAGGCAGACGCTTAACGACTGAGCCACCCAGGCGCCCCAATAGCGATTTTTTATTAATGCTTCATGGGTGACCAGTGTGGGGCCAGGACGGAATTGAATAGCAAAATTTTGGTGAATTTGGTGATCCCCAGACATCTGGAACTTTGGTTATTATCAGCGTGGGCAGCTTTTTGAAGGCATCGCTTCTCAGAAATGTGAACTGGCTCAAGGTCCCCGGATTTCTAGCTCAGCCCCAAGGAGAATACCCACAGCTGTCTTGAAATGACTAACCCAGATCTCATGGCTGTGCCTCTGGCAGAGTGTCTTCCAGATCCTTGGGATGGAGGGTTGTTGCTTCCCCTTGCATGAAATATCCCAAAAGAGTGAAAAAGAAGACTAAAAGAAGTAGTATGGGGGCACCTGGGTGGCTCAGTCGGTTGAGTGTCCAGCTGTTGATTTTGGCTCAAGTCATGATCTCGGGGTCCTGGGATTGGGCCCCGTGTCCGGCTCTGTGCTCAACGGGGAGTCTGACTGAGACTCTCGCCCTCCCTCTGCCCATCCCCCGACTCGCACACTCGCACGCGCATTCACATTCTCTCTCTGAAATAAATCTTTAAAAAAAAACTGGTGTAATATCACAGTCATGAGACATGAAATGAGACAACCCGCCGGTGCCAGCCTGTGAAATGCAGTGAGCTTCTGTGGGAATGGATGTTTTTATAGTTGTCAGTAAGGTGTTCTAACGCTCCTGTCGTCTTTGACGCCTCTGAACCTGCTCTTCTGTGTTGCAGCATCTTCAGGAGACCTTACTACGTGTCTCACTTTCTCCCTGCTCTGCTCACACCTCGAGTGGTCAGTACATGTGGTCACGGACTTGGGGCCCAGGTGGCAGAGAGCAGAGGTCTCACTTGAATCCCGTCTTGCCCCACAGCTTCCGAGAACCCCTGATTCCAGAGTGGCCTTGATAGAGTCCCTGAGGAGGTACGCAAGGACACCTGTTTCCAGGAGGGTTTTTGACAAATGCAAAGAATTGTGGTGCTTTTGTAGAGAAATGTGTTTTATTTATGAAATTTTGGCTCAAAATTGGTAAAGATTTTATTTTATTATTATTTTTAAAGATTTTATGTATTCATTTGAGGTAGAGCACAAGCAGGGGGAGCGACAGAGGGAGAAGGAGAAGCAGTCTCTTCACTGAGCAAGGAGCCCAAAGTGGGGCTCAATCCCAGGACCCTTGGATCATGACCTGAGCCGAAGGCAGACGCTTAACCGTCTGAGCCATCCAGGCACCCCTCAAAATTGGTTAAGATTTTAAAAAGAAAATTAAATCTGAATATCATTTTTCGGTGAACTTTTAGGACTATCATTCTGGGAATTTAAGAAAGTCATGTTATTGGTCCATAATCATTTTGAAAGGAAAATTTAAGCAAAGAAGGAAAAGAATAGGGAGACATGGAAGCCTCGCCCTACAACAGATTGGGGTAGACCCGGGACTTGCATAGAATATGGAGTCTCGGGCCCCCAGCTCACACTTGACTGGCTTCCCAAGCTTCTCCTTTCTGTAAATCCTGCTTCCTAGTGAAGCTCTTACAACATGATACCCATAAGAAGGTCGAAAAGAGAAAGAGCCTAGAAAGTAAAAGTACACTTTTTCATCTTAAAATAAGACCATTCTCTGGGCTCCTTATTTTTATTTATTTATTCATTTATTTATTTATTTTTAAAGATTTTATTTATTT